AGATGCAACTTTAATTTAACACAGATGAAAAACCAGCTCACTCGTACATTGTCATTTCAAGGTCATCATGATTCAACCAAAAACTGGTGATGTCTGAGTGGTTAAGTTGTTTACTCTGTAATTAGTCCATCCGTTCCCACTAGTCTGACACATTTAGACGATTCACTGGCCAATCACAGCACTGTGGAGGCACTGCCACCTCTCATGTGACCCTACACTGGTATTTTTCTACTACTTTAACCCCAGCAACATTAATAATCAAGTGTAGCGTTAGTTCTGGCAGGTCACGTTAGTCAAGCTCGCATCAGCTGACTCTCAGCTGATCCCCATCTACCTATGGGAATACGACACCCATCTAAGCATTCCTATATAAGGTCCCTCAGTATTATCAGCGGTTTTCGCATTGCTCAATAGCTAATTACCCTCCTCCATCCCCAACTCCTCCTCTGTCAGTCGGGATTCAGTCTTCTGATTCTCCTTGAATCAGACTAATTCTAAAATGTGTACATAAAATGATTGAACTTAACAATATCTGCAATACATTTATGTTAGTTCTGTTCTGTTTACCCTGGGGGGTTATTGCTGCTCTCCCTGCTCTCATCCATGCTAGGCTGCATGGAGGTGCAGGGAGTTCTTGCCCAGAACAGAACCATACTGCCAATCCAAACTGTATGCTAATTGTCAATCATCTTTGACGATAGTGGTCCTGACAGAAATCATTTATTAGTTTGAATTCTGGTGTATTTTAAAGAAAATATGCAATGTAGGAAACACAGAATCACTTTTTTAAAGACTGTGATGATGTGTTTCCACAGTTATTAACTAGGGATGCACCGATACCACTTTTTCCAGTACTCGCCCGATACCGATACTTTTATTTTTGGTACTTGCCGATACCGAGTACCGATACCAATATTTTCACTGCATCTGTACATTTTTAAAATATTGGGTACGGAAACCAAAAGAGTATGTATAATGTTAGTTGGTTAACTTCATTTATCAAATAGATACAGTCTCAAAAATTATATCTGGTCTCTGAATAATTTTTGGTTTGACTGTGCATCCTTCTGTTATTTTCACACTTAATTATGTCCATTAAAACGTATTTTACACGTTTTTGTTACTTTCACTGTTAATTTTTCTCTCTCTCTATGGTAGTCTACATCATCTTTAATTTAATAACATTAGAGCTGCTCCATTGCAGCGGCTTAGTACTGTAATCACACGATTTGCTGTAAAAATGCAGGGAACCACTCGCTATAAATCTCCTAACAGTGATATTTTTTATAAATAGAAGTCGCGTTTTTTACATCTGAAACGTTCAGCGATTTATTTTCCAAAGCCACTCATATAATGCAGAAACACTCATGAAGCAAGCAAAACACGCGAAACGCGCACACGTATTTGTACTGGTGCAGAATGAGAGGACAGTAGTACAGCCTAGCGCATTTCACACAGGCTGTTAGTTTCACTTTCGCCAGAAAGTCGTGTATGCTTAAGGGTAAAAATAAATGACGTTTATAGTGAATGCCCCTATAAATTGTCTTATATTTACGATTTAGTTTTAATCCAAATTATGCGTGCTAAGTGAGCGAACTTTCCAGTGATGTCTGTGAGAAAGGGATATTCACTCGATAAGCTCGGGCATCTGCGCCGCAGCACGCTCAATCCACTTAGCGTGATTTGCTTACCAGCTGGCGCAAATCAGCTATACAGGCATTAATACTGAATGTTTTATATTCATTGCATACATATACTTCGTAGACATCTTTAATCTCTAATAACTCCATTCTGCTGTCTGTTGTCGGTGTTTCTTTGTCTGAATATGGCACTTATCACATGCTGTGTGGTATCGGCGTTTGGTATCGGGGCATTTTAACGAGTACAAGTACAAGAGCTCAGTATCGGGCCCGATACCGATATCAGCATCGGTATCGGTGCATCCCTATTATTAACATTAGCTGCGTCCCAAATGATGCACTATACACTATGCACTTGTATGTACTTAAGCACTATGTACGCAACCATGTAGTGTATGAATTATATACGGATATTTTGTCATTCATAATCTGAGTCTGATAGCCCCTCACCCTTCGCTACGTAATTGAAGCTGCGACAGCTGAGTGAATGAATTGTCCAACATTCCACACTTCATTTTTTCAGTTACTTAAATCAGAGGTCCCCAACCACCGGGTCGCAAGAACGTTTCTGGGAAAAATGTGTATAGATATGACACTCTGTTATTTATTTATGTTAATGATTGTTCTAATTATTCTGTATTTTCTTTGTATGCAATTGATATGGAGTAGCAATTTGACAATTAATGTTAAATAAGTAAATGAAAGATTGCTCTGATCTGTCACATATTAGGAGTTAAACGGATCGCAGTTGATCCGTAATACGTACGGATGAGACCCTACCGTTCAGCACGCACGTCATTCGCAGATTAATTTGCCAATTTACACATACAAGCAATTTTAAAACACAAGAAGAAGAAACGAAAGAGAGCTCAATTCTTTACTCACGCGCTGTTCTCGCACACAATCAAAGCGCACACAAGCATAGAGACGTGTTTCAGACAAATACCGTGTTGCGTATACATACACATAAAATTAGCCTATGTCAAAAACCCATCACGGCATTGTCATTCTCTCTGCTTTAAATATTTTTTTTCTTGCTTATCCGAAAAAATAGTCCGATCTGTGACAAAAAAAACAACACAATATAATGCATTGAACCACTATATAATGCTATTATAATATTATATAATAGCCTAATATATATATATATTAGGCTATATACCCCACTGTCCAGCCGGTCCATGAGAATATTTTCCAAACGTAACCGGTCCGTGGTGTAAAAAAGGTCGGAGACCCATGACTTAAATAAATCATCCATGTATTTAAAGTGTACTTTTTTGGAATTTTCAGTGTGAACACACTACTCATACTAATTATACTACAAAACGGCATAGAATAGTGCAGGGGTGGCGAACGTCGGTCCTGGAGAGCTGCAGTCCTGCAGAGTTCAGCTCCAACCCTAATCAAACACACCTGAACAAGCTCATCAAGGTGAAGGGTTACTAGAAAGCTACAGGCAGGTGAGGTTTTATCAAGTCTGCAGTTCGCCACCCTTGGAATAGTGCATATGTACGTGATTTTGAATGCACCTATTGTAAATATAGCTATTTTTAAAAATGTAATGTAAATTTATAACAATATGCTTTAAATACATTTTGTGTTATAATACCTATATGTATTACACTTTGTGTTATATTACCTTTTATTAAATTACAGAAAAAGGGTTAATGCTGTTGTGTAGGGGTGGGCGATATGACCAAAATCTTATATCACAATATGTTTTTATTTCACGGTAACTATATAAATCACGATATAGTTGTTTTTGCTTTAAATAATGTCTTTATGATATCATAGTTTTTAAAGCCATGGAAATATCATAATTCTTATCACCAGTGTCAATATTTAAGAAAAACAACAACTAATATTAGCCTAAATTTAAAAAAAAACTCGAGCTCATTAAAGACAAGTAGAAAGTCAGCCGTTAAATAAGAATAAAAAAAGCTAATTACAAGCAATAGGACAAAAACTACAGTAGAACAAATAAATAATAAATGCTACATTGTATAAGTAATCGAATGTACAAAAACACTGCATATTCTTCACTGTGTATAAATATATATTTCTTCTTATTAAAGTTACAAAAGTGATTTAGTCAAGAGTAGTGAGAGATTTTCTCTCTTTTGTTGTTTGATTAACATGAATGACAGAAGGAATATTAGACTGCTGTCACTTTAAGAGCTGCCCAGATCCAATTACTGTTACACGTGTGTTTTCTTTCTCAGCTGTTTGCTTTCACTTAAGACCTAAATTACTGTTTACGAAGATACTTGCAAAGACGGGCATTTTGTGTGTATTTAACCGTTCAAGGCCTATAAAGCTGCAAAAAGAACTCTATGAGCACCGTCTGCATGTTCCTCTCTGACAGCGCTCAGAAACAGTCTCTCAGACAGTGCGCGCATATAGCAAAATGAGTTCTCTTTCGCTGCGGATTGCGTTTTAATAACTTAAAATCACTTGTTTTTAAACTGCAATGCTTAAAATGTGCGAAAACGATAAGTTTTTGTGACTACATAGCACAGCAATGTCACGTGAGCATGTAACTGCGATAGAGACGATAGTCCAAACTCTAATTTCTACCAGTTAATCATGTCTGTCGGTACATCGCCCACCCCTAGTGCTGTGTGCTGTTTCTACTAACGGCTGAGGGAGTCACAGCAAATTTGACGTCTTTTTCTCTTCTAACCATCATAATCTCAATTTTTTTTCTTTCTTTTGGAGCAAATGGGAAAATTCTATTTGTTGTAGTTTCCATTCACCGCTGTATAAGTTTACCAAACTATGACGACTTCTGGATCCGAGAACCGCGAAAATGTGAAAAGCATCCATTTTTGCGCAGCTATGCAGAAGCTGTGTTTGTGTTGTTATAAACACGCTTACTAGATAAAATATGCCTTATATGGCATTTAACCTAATGTTTCTTTCGCTTCAATTATTTTATCATTCTATATACATTTTTGAAGAGCCGCGGCCTCCTTTTTCTCAGAAAACGTGGCTCTGATGCATGTTTGTGGATTAGCTGTAAACCTGTAAAACTGTAATTCCTCCGACTAAAGAGCAAACACACGCAAACATCCGACTATATGGACCATACACACACACACACACACACACACACAATCAGCGTCTATCTCTGTGTGTTAATTCAAGTAGCTGTTGAGTCACTGACCCCCGTCTCTGTTTAACCCATGTGAGGTGTGTCTGTTTCTCTTTTCTGTCTCACCTACTTTTGCAGTCGCTCTCTGTCTCTCTCTCTCACAGTGTGTGCGCTCTTGTCTCTCTCTCTTTTTTCTGTTCCTTCCTTAATCTCTGAGTATTACACACCTCCCCAGTCTTACTCCCTCCCCCTTTCTCTCTCTCAGTGTCTCTGGCGTGGGCTCAGATCTGCAGTGGTTTATTCAGTCGCTCAGTCGTGTCGTGTCGCCGCTCTGTGTGCTTACTGCATGCGCGTGTGTTTGCTCGCCCGGCTGGTATGCGCAGACGGGAAGGAGGCTGCAAATGTATCCTTAGGAGTAGATGCGGTCTCGTGCAGCAGCCCTGTGAGGTGGTTCTGCCCCGCGACGGCTCTGCTAGGACACTTCCTCTGGACCTCCGAGTGCGAGCGCTACTCTTAACAAGTGAGTCTGCTTTCAGGATGTCAACATGCAGCGTGTGAGTGTGTTTATGCAGGTGCGGATCGTCTTAAGGGTTCTTGTTTGTCAGCGAAGTCAAATGACCCGAACGCAGGGGTGGGATGGACTGATTGCTGCTGGACTGACATTGGTGTGATCCGTGTGGGAATTGTGTGGGAAATAAGTGCATTTGGGGATTTGGAGTGTGAGACGTGTCATCTTTGAAGAGCCAGATGTGTGTTTGTTGTAGTTTGGGGACAAAATGGTCCCCAGACGTGAGCTAAATGTGGCAAAATCTCCCTTTGGGCAGGTTATCGAATGATTTATGAATAAATTGCATGATCATTTTTGAGTCCTAGCATGCAGAAAGTTTCTTTAAGGTAGTCTGTAGTCGGAATTAGGTTTATATGAACAGCTGAAGTGTGCGGTATGTCTTCATTTAGACAGCAGGGTAAGCGTGCGTCTGTGTTTGTGTCAGTGTCATGTCTTGAGCATGCACACTTCCTCCGGTGACGCGGGGAGGGCATGATCAGAAGTTTGCATTTAGTCTCCGACACACAGAGAGAGAGAGAGAGAGAGAGAGTGAGAGTGACAGCGGCAGCTCATTATGAATGTCAGGAAACTTCACTTTTATCTTTCCTCTTTCTCTCATTTCACTCGCAAAGCAGAACAATGTTGATATTCCTCAGACATTCTGGCAAGGGTTTGTTCAACACTTAGTATTAAAATACTGGATTTATTCTGTTTGAACTCTTTAATGTTCTCTATTTATTAAAGCTTTTCTTTTGCCTGTAATTTCAGTGTTGGTTGTGCTAAATATGAGTGGTAAACTGGAATTACATCAGACGATATATATATTTTTTTTAGTGGTGGAAATATTACACACTATATATTATACGTTATATATATATTACACATTATTAACATTATATATATTGCACATCTATATATTACACATTATTACACATTATTAACACAGTATATTGACATTATTACCTAAATATTAACTTTATTACACAATATTAACTTATATTTATTAAACATTTAATTAAACATATTTAATGCATATTAAAAACATGTATTATTCACAAAAAAATTTAATATACATTTTTGTTTTTTAATATTAAAATTTAATATACATTTTTTTGTAATGCATTAATAAAAAATGCATTAACTATTGACAATATACATACATACATGCTGTTAATTTTATTGCTGTTATATATATATATAATCAAATTGGCGAAATATTGGCTGATTAAGTGGCCTGAGCAATATATATATATATATATATATATATAGCGTAAGTATTTTCGTAAGCTTTGTACTTTTTTTTTAATATTTGGGATTATACTTTTAAAATTTCCCATTGACTTGCATTCATAGAATCTTCAGCATTCCAAATGTATCCAACTGTGATGATGTGATTGCGATATCTATATGCACACTGATTGGTCTCTCTTGCATATATGTAACTCTTTATTGTTGTATGTGTTGTTTTCCATGTGCTGCTGGTCAGATCCTGGATGTGTCTGTGCTGCGTGACATGACAGCAATAAAGCGTCTCTGATGCGGCATTTCATTCACTCTGAATCAAAGACTAACACATACACTTACCTTAAACCAGAACACGTTTGCTGCCTTCCAAATGCTGCTGTTTCCTTCAGGTAATGCTTATCAAGTTTCATTATGTTCGTCTGCTTGAATGACGAGCAGATTGTCCTGCTCCTTCTGGCTATGAACTATAAAGCTGTTGGTGAAAATGAGGGGCTGCCTCTCCTCTTTTTCTCTGTGTTTGTTTGTGTGTAGCACATTTATTGCTGTAACAGGTTTTTAGATGATCTGTTTTGTCTGTAGTATAAATGGCTTCAATAGCTTGGGGTTTTTTTCTAGCTGGTGTTTTTTTTTTGTTTTCTTGGGTATCTATATACAGGGGTGTGTGTGTGTGTGGTTTTGCTATGTTGCAATGCACCTGAGAAGCTGCTCTATTAGCGTGAAAGCGCTGAGGAAGGAAGTGTTCGTGTAGAAGAGGTCAGTGTAAAGGATGCCCTTTAAAAGCAGAAAAATTCCTCCACCAGCAGTTGGAAAAGTACACGAGATAAAAACGCTCTCGCATGTGACTCATCTTGAGACTGAGACTATTTCTGCGGTGTTGTCTGGTCCTTCATGAGTCGCCTCAGAGCTTCAGCACGGAAAGAAGGAAGGAAGAAAGAAAGACAATACAGTAAAGCAAAAACCCTTACGCTGCAGGTGGTTTGTTATCAAGATTTCACACTGTTGTGAGTGTGTTTGTTTAAAAGTGCTCTAGGGAAAAGAAAAGCAAGAGAAATATGCTTCTAGAGTAAAGTACAACAGGACTAAAGGCCTTCTGGTGTGAAAGATCTTTTTGAGTTTTGCTATTTGCTTCAATAACACTTAACAGAAACTAAAACCACTTTCCTAAACACCTACCTGTCTAAATATATCACAGATATAGTGGCCATATCAGTAAAACAAATGCTTGCTAAAGGTCTAAAGGTTGATTTTGATGTTTGATTCATGTTGCTTTTGAGAATCCCTGATCATATATTTAATGATTTTCAGTTTTGTTCAAGGTGATAAAATCAGTAGTTTTTCAGGAACTGTTGAGTAATAAAAGTATATGGGGTAGAAAGGCGTGAAAAACACACTTTGGCCAAAAACTTACAGCAAAAGAATACAAGAGATCTCATAAAATGAGAGGTTATAAAATGCCAGAAGGAATTAAATAAACTGAAAAGTGGTTACACACTTGTTGAGGTGGTTATTTTCGCCTTTTGTACTTAAATGTTGCTGTTATTATTATTATTTTTTCTATATTTAAACTATTTGCATATGATGCTGACATGTACTGCACCAGTATCTAGAATATATATCACTATAATGTGTATTTAAGGCCTTTTGTCTGGAGCCAAACTAATTCTACTGTTTTATTTTACTGTGTTGCTCCCTCAGTATTCAATATACATTTGTTTTTTGTTTTTTTAAATGATCCAATTGACTTACAGTAGTCAGGTGATCTAAATGGAACTGCTTGAACAGTTGCAACCAGTTTTATTTAGTTTATTTGGTTTATGTAGAGATATATGCAGACAACTAGTCTCAGTGGTTGCATTAGTTTATACTTTATCTCTTCAGTCTCTGAAACCAATTCTGTTGCACGGACAGCGTTTTTTCAGAGTTGCATGACTGATCTTTTTCTCACATTTAGCATACTGTTCAGAGGGTTTTGTGGAGTAATGACGCCTGAGATTGTGTTCCTCAGGCACTGCAATCTTTACAAAAGAGACATAGACCAAGAAGAGCATTTGTGAGTGTCTATAAGGCTGATACTTCTGAAGTGCATGTAGAGGATTTAGCTATTATCTCTTGTCTTTGTCAATACTGTGAATTGGCCCATAACCTTTTCAGCACATGTAAAACATCAATAAATCACTACTCACTCACACTGTTTTAACCTCCTGTGTAGTGGCTGGTGACCTTCTTATTTAGCTGAATTGAAATGATGATGATGCCAAACCAATTCCTGCTCAGGAAAAAGCACTGTTGTTCCCAATTACCCCACATCACTGTCAGAGCCAAACCATACGCCGTATTCCCACGTATTTCATCACGTCAAGCACAAGATCCCGTCTTGATCTCTGACAACACTTTGTCTCGGTAAACACCATACGCGCGCCTTCACGAGGAAATCATTATTTAAAAAAGACAAACATGCAAATGACAGGAACGTTTGGCGACATTGCGTGCCACTTATGTTATGTTTTTTTAAACTTGCAATTAAATGTACCACATCAATATATAAAAAAAAACAAAGAGGAAGAAAATATATTCCTTTTTTTTTAATACATCCACATCATGAAATACATTAAACATTACACGACGCCATGGTTTCCCTGACTGTAATTAATAGTTGATAAAAAGCTAATAATGAATTCAGTCATAAAAGTGTAAAATAAAAATAAACTATTTTATATACTATCAAAATTAAACACTTGAACAGTAAATATGGAACTGTTTGTTTACCTGCATGTCGATGTGACCGTTAATCAGAGAACTTGTTAAATTAGTGAAATATATTAACTTTCTCAGGTATATTTCAAGTGAATGCTGTATGTTTTTGTCAAAGGCAAAGACTGTAAAAAAGGTTTTGACTGACAAAAATGTTTGGGAATCCCTGCATTACATGAACACACATTAATAAACATGAAAGGAAACTTTTAAATTAACTTCTAATTTATCTAATTAGAAGCATTTTAAAATGTGATACACTCTATTTACAAGTATTTAATTTTTGTAATCTGATTACATAATCCAGATTACATGTAATCAGTTACTACCCAGCTTTGTATATGTATATTTATATGTCCGAACCAAGGGAGAAACAAACGCTCCAGACCAGCCAGGTGTGAAAACGGCACAAAAACTCTCAGCTCCATTTAACTCATGTATAAATCAGTTCCACAGCATTTCCAAATCAGAGTCTGTTTTGGCTTCCACAGAGTCTTTACAGTGAAGAATGCAGCACAGTAATTAATTTTTGAAAAATGTCCAGGGGTTCCTGTCTCTGTCTTTGTGTGTGTGTGTGTGTGTGTGTGTGTGTGTGTGTGTTGTAATTACTAATTAAGGCTGCATAGAGGGCTGCATGTCCTTGCTATGACCGGTTCTCTCTCAGTGGAACAAACCAGAGTGATGAACACATCCAGTCCACATTTATGTCTGTGTTTTCTCATTATGTTGCTTGACAAAGCAGTTGTGTTTAAGCTGCTGCATCCTTCTGAGACCAGACATTTCTGAACCGTCACTCCTCCTAGAGCTTTCAGTGTAGTCTGTCGGCCTCCGTCAGTGTCTGTCTGTCTGTCATGTCATGCTTTTAAGACAAAACTTTGCTTTTTCTAGTTCCCTTACATCATTTTCCTTTTCTCTTACTCTTCAACTCCATTCCTGTTCCTCTAGCAATCTGTCTCTTGTCCCCTCTGTGTGTTTGTGTGTGTATTGATGGCTTCTTTCCTGCACTTTGTGTTTATTCATGCTCACTGCCGCTGCTGGATTCATGCATAAACACACAAACATGTTTCCAGGCCAGGAGCAGATGATTACTGTGTGACAGGAATTAAAATATTCCCTGCAAACCATCATATCTATCTATCTATCTATCTATCTATCTATCTATCTATCTATCTGTCTGTCTGTCTGTCTGTCTGTGTATTGTTCTATCTATCTATCATTCTATCTGGCACTTGTTCCATCCATCCATCCGTCATTATATCTGTCTGTATATCATTCTATAGTTTTCTGTTTGTAAAGCATATGAATCTTCAATCACTTCAAACTTTTTTTTTTCTTTTCAGGATTCAAATATTGTCTTGAACTTTTATTTTCTAGTTAAACATTACACTTATATTATTTAGAATTTCATTTAATTTTGATTCTGCTTCATTACATTCAAAATTCACATTGCATTTCTATATTCCATTTGCTACCTCAATTCAAATACAGGAATTGATTTGGAATTTAAAAAGCAGCTGTAACTGAAAGCTGCAGTACGGTTTAGATATAGAGACGTCATTAATGAAACGCGTATGTAAGATGATCTCCGGATGTGTTTATCACATGTTCTACAGTTGGTTGACATCTGCATTCATGTCATGACCACATTCTCCTGTGTTTTCTCTTTAGAGCAACTTCTTGGGAAGTAGCAGCTTCTCTGTGGCCGATCTCCTCCAGTCTAAGGACCAGCAGCTTTCTCTCAGCCTGAGGTGAGTTGCATTGTGGGCTGATGGGAGTTTTATCATTGTCTGCATCGCTGACTTCATTGAGGCTGCGCTGTGGTTTTTATATGTAAACTTCATTTGCTGGGTTTCGTGCTCATGTGATGAGCTCTCTGGAGGTGGATGATGTCAGGCACACACAGCTGATCAAACAGGACTGAGACTCCAGCAGAAAACAGGCCATCTACACCTGTATTTGGCACGTATTTAGTTGCCACACAGCTCGATCTGATTGTCCAATGAATGCACAGCTTGAGTTTGCATTGTACGGTAGGGCAGGGTGGCATGACGATTTATAGCATGGTAGATTTATGTTATTTACACATTGAGGAATGTGGAATAAAGTGAAAATGCGGAGCAGGACGTGTCCCAAACTGGTAAAGACATGTAGAGTTTTGTTGTTTTGTTAGGTGTAGAGAACTGCTGTGTCTTAAATGTGGCTCATCCATTGAATTTAAAGTCAAAACTGTCCAATGTTGTACAACCTAAAAGATTGTACTGTAGGTTCAAATCCCACAAAGTGTGATTCATTAACAGTGATCACCATTGTGCTCCTCCCAGTGCGCTTGTTCCTGTAAATGTACTGTAAATCATATTTAAGTGGCAATTAAATGACAAATTGGTATTCTACATTTTTACAGACGGTGCAGGCAAGACACATTCATATCCATAAGCATCTGCCACATGCCATCAGGGCCTTGAGAGAGACCTGGAAACCGACAGCATTGTTGCCTTGTTGTCGTTCACTAAATGATTCAGTGTTCAAACAGCTGCTTCGGTGGAGTTACTCTGTCCTGTGAACACAGACGCACTGGATCTGCTCCAAAACCTAGCGAGCTGCTTACGTAGACAGCAGTTACCAAACGGCTGTCTTCTAAGTTGGAGTGCTGTTTGCTGGGTTGCTGCCTATGAAGAGCGCCCTCATAAGTCTCCTTGACAGTAAAAATGAAGAAAGCTTGCTGCGTTTTGTGTGTGAGATCATGACTGATAGTGTTGGGACTGTGAGTGACAACCGGAGGGATTCTCTGCACACTGCATCACACATTACAACATTAGTATTAGAGCTGGGCGATATAGCTAAAAAATGTATCAACTATATAATGTTTCATATCGTTCGGTATCGATAATTATTGACATTTTTTATAACCTTTTTTAAAACAAAGAGCAATAGAATATTTTTTTTATTTAACCACTGTATTTTAAAATTGTAAATTGGACTGTAATTTATTGAGACAAACAACAAATATTTTTTGTTTTCACAATCAAACACAAAATAAAAATTAAACCAATATCTCATTTCTAATGTTTTAGATGCAGATTAAATAGGTTTTAAGGAAACTTTTGTCTTTGTCTCCCGAGGCCACAGGAGGGCGCAGTGAGCAAAATAATAGCGCATTTAAATAGTCAACTCAAGGAAATAACTGTCTATAAAAACTGTGCATTACGTCTAAATTAACTAATAAAAATCAAATATAATTTCGTAAATTGCATAAACAATTATGAACAAAACAGTATCATGTATTTATGCATTGCTTAATCCAAAGAGCCAACGCGCCATCCACACAGATTGCATTTAAAAACATATGAGATGCAGTGAAAAGGAATAAACTTCCACAAATTCGTGACGTGTTTTCTGTTTTAACTTTGCATGGCTACATCTCTTGTGTGAGACGCGAGTGCAGCAGTCGTATTTGTCCGTCTAAAAAATGCGCTGAATATGCATTCTGTGTGAATGGCTTGGTTTCAGTTTTAACCTAATCAAGATCTTCTCCGCATTGAGCTTCTATATTTCTCTAATATTTTGAATGAATAACGCAGCAGCGGCGCGTCTCGTGGGCTAGACTAACAAAACGTTAAAATGCAACACGGTCACTTACATAATCATCACCGCATCTGCGCGCCACTGATGACACTCCCTGACGCACGCCTAACATTCAAATGCAAATGTTTATTTTAAAATTCGACTAATATTCATTCTTTATTCACAATCTCTTCATCACAGGCAGGCACAGCACTCAATTCAGCATGTGTTCGTGTTTGTGTGTGCTGTCTGCGTAACTCATATCGTTATCGAAGAAGGTGTACCGTCGATAAATATCGATACCGTTTTATCGCCCAGGCCTAATTAGTATTAATATTGATTATCGTTTCTCTTTATTTGGCATATTGCTCATGTTAGGGTATAGACACTGGCCCTTGCTTCTTGTTGTTTGTTCTGATGCGCTGTCGGCGGCTGGTTGTTCTTCGTGTCTCTCTTGAAGCTCAGAATAGCGTTTCTCTTTGGTGAGGAGCAGCAGAGGTACAAAAGGACTGCGCTGTCTCTTGTGTAATGCAGCAAGGCGTACAGTACATGGGGTGCAGAAGTCTGGGAAGGTATTTTGCCATATTGTAAAATGGTATAAGTTGGATTTGAAAATGAAGGTGAATGTCTTTGATTTGTGTCTCTTCTGCTTTAATTAAAGCTGTACTGGAGCTTCAGCATGCTCTGAGATGTTTCAAAGAGCATCTTGAGCTTCGATGGAAGAATGTAGGACTATCTGTAAGAAGTTTCCACCAATTTCAACTCAACTTTAAAAAAAGTTTGTTCACTTTGTTCAGTTGCTGCTTTGTTTCTTTTTTTAAGTTTAATTAAATTGGCTGTACAAGTCATTTCAACTTTCAAATTATATTAAACTGACTTAAAAATCGAGTTGAATCTCATATAACTCATATAAAGAGTTTGGTTAAAGTAATGGAAAAACATATGTTGCCATGACTTTATTGATCATACTTATTGATTTTTTTTACAGTGTATGAAGAGTCATGGCTCTCATTTACCTGAGCGTGACCTAGAAATAGTGTAGAATATGAAATATTTGTTTTGTGAGAAATGTTCAGAAATCAAAATCTTTATTTCTATTTAAATGCTACAACAACTCTTACATAATTTATGTGGACCCCCATATATTGTATTTGTTTATGCATTGCTTTTGGTGCTATTCAAGATAATTTGTATTCTGTCATCATTAATATATTTGAATATTTCATAATAAATCCAACAAAATATTGTATACTCGTAGCCAATAATTTATTGTAATTTTTATGTTCTCATTATAATTTTATAAATATTGTTATATTATATATTTTATATTCTTATTCAATGCATAACTGCAAGTTACATTTATAATGGAATATTTTATATTTTATTTTGATTTAGCTTTATTTTAAGGTGTCCTTGTTACAGTGTAATTATACATTTAGGTATTATTTAATAAATAGTATTATTTATTATTTAGTAATATTTGTTAACTACATGTACTGTATGGTTAGGGTTAAGATTAGGGTATATGGCTTAGGGTTACTTGCGTGTAATTATACATAATTTATTGTTATTATAATAGTAAGTACATGTAACATGTATAACAAGGACACCGTAATGTAAATCGTTACCTTGTTTTTTTGTACCATTTCAATTGCATCATTTGCAGTGTAGAAATGACTAATTTCTGATGGTTCATTGTGTAGAAATGACTCATTTTCTGAAATGCATTTGCAATATATTTCTTGCATGGGAAAAATACTTTCAGAAAGTTTCTGCTGAAAAAGTCGTTGGCACTCTTGAGCTCTCTATCTTCGATTGTTGATAATCAGCAGCACTCTCTGTTGCTGTCTGTGCGGTAAAGAAGCTTTTCAGTTGTTTTTGTTGTGCACACAATAGGAAAGCAGTGTGTGTTTGCGACTCTATTGCTCGACCCGGCCGAGACCTTTCACACAGTTGTCAACTCTGCTGCGCTGTGTTTCAGGAAGTCTTGTCTTTCCTCTCTTCGTCCCCTCGCAGGTCACCTTTTCATTTCTGGCTTATCTCTTCCTCTCTCTATATCATGACACATTCAGTTATTTATAGATCCTTATCCAAGCAGTCTTAGATGCAATAAACAGCGGCCTGCACTGGAGATCTTTGAGTCTTGAATTCAATCACTTTACAGTCCGAGTATTGATTGGGAGGGAGTTTATGGGTAGAGACGTGCCGTGCCCTGCCCATGGCGAATGAAATCTAGCGTCCTCTAAATGTTAGCAGCTCGCTCTTACTCCAAATCACATTTCTTCTTCACTAAATGAAAGTTTCATCATATGTGAGATCAGGGTTTAAGATTACTGATTTTGTATTTTTATCTGTACCTGGTGAATTTTTCTGACCATAATTATGAATTATTTGCATTATTTTGTAGTAGTATTACAGTTGTATAGTTGTCTTTCTGATGATCCAAAGCATCCAGAGTTCATCCAGCTTCTATTTTTGATTCACCTGCAAATAAATTGTGAACATTTTTGCACCATTCATCAATATTTAAAACTGTCTATGAAATTGTATCATAGCAACAAATATATTTGCAATTATTTAAAAAAACAAATTTGCATTATATATTTATAGCAAAAATATTTGCTTGTCATTTGCAGCATGAAAAATAAATGGATTGGTTTCACTTTGAAGCCGTTTTCACCCAGAAATTGCTATTTATTTTTTTACAAGGACATGACAAATAACATTAACCTTTATTTTATTTAATTTTAAAAAATTTTTTTTATTTTTTGTAAAATGTACTTTAATAATCTTAACCCCACAAATCACAAAATCATGAAGACCCATTCAATTTTGTTCTTCGTGTCTTTGTTTTGGTGATTAAATTGTTATTTGGCTAGTGACATTTACTTGATTTACCTGTTTATATAAATTATTAATTATTTGTGTGTATATATATATATATTTTTTATTTTTTATTTTTTTTTGATGATGATGAATTGCAAATTATTTTATTATTTTTTATGGTTACATATAATTATGAAATCTTTTTTAGACCTCTTGAATATTGACACTTAACAGCATGAATGTAGCATCACACAGAAGAGTCATTTCATTTCATGTGAGCATGGATGATTTTTCAAAAGTACCAGTCATTCTTTTATGAATAAATCTTTTTTAATAAAGGAAAAAATGGCTGAGTGCAGCT